TTCCTTCCTTCCTTCCTTCCTTCCTTCCTTCCTTCCTTCCTTCCTTTTTGGTTATTAAAAATGGTTGCTTATTACACATTTTCTTTCTTTCTTTCTTTCTTTCTTTCTTTCTTTCTTTCTTTCTTTCTTTCTTTCTTCCTTCCTTCCTTCCTTCCTTCCTTCCTTCCTTCCTTCCTTTCTCTCTCTCTTTCTCCTTCTCTCTCTCCCTCCCTCATTCTCTCCATTTTCTTCTTCCTCTCCCTCTTTTTGTCTCTTTCTTTCTGTCTCCCTTTCTGTCTTGTCTCTCTCTTTCTTTCTTTTCCCCTCTCTCTCAAACTCTCTCTCCCTTTTTCTCTTTCTCTCCCTCTCTCCCTCATTCTCTCCATCTTGTTCTTTCTCTTCCACTTTCTGTCTCTCTTCCTTTCTGTCTCCTTCTCTCTCTCTCTCTCTCTCTCTCTCACTTTCTTTCTCTTGCTATCCATCTTGAAACAAAACAATTCTGAGTGGCTTTACAACTGTTTGCGGCATCCTTCAGCCATCACGTGACCCGGATTTACAATGCGTTTTTTGCTGGCATTTAACCACAAGAATTGGAGAGGCCACTGGGTCCGCTTAACGACCATGGATTTGCTTAACAACCCTATCGATTCGCTTTATGACCACTGCAAAAAAAAGTTTCATAAAATCAGGTTGGCCTGCTTAACGAGAGGCAGGACTTAGGACTGTAATTTTGGGGCCCTCTTACAGCCACAGGGCTGGGAGTATCTGCAGTCATGAACATTTGATGCCGTAACATTTTTTCTTGTTTCAGAAATTCTTTCGTTTGTTTTGTTTTTCCTCCCTCCGCAGGTCATCAAAGCTGGAGTGGAGACCACTTGTAAATGCCACGGAGTGTCCGGCTCCTGCACTGTCCGGACATGTTGGCGCCAGCTCTCTCCCTTCCACGAGATCGGCAAGCAGCTCAAGCAGAAATACGAGATGGCCCTCAAAGTGGTCAGCACGACCAACGAGGCCACGGGGGAAGGGGACATCTCCCCAGCCAAGAAGTCCATCCTGGGCCACGGTGACCAGATCCCCAGGACTACAGATCTGGTTTATCTCGACGATTCTCCGAGCTTTTGCTTGTCTAGCCGATTCTCCTCCGGGACGTCCGGCCGGAAATGTTACAAAGACAAGAACTGTGACAGCATCTGCTGTGGTCGGGGACACAACATCCAAAGCCGCGTGGTCACTCGTCCGTGCCAGTGTCAGGTCCGCTGGTGCTGTTACGTGGAGTGCAAGCAGTGTACGCAGAGAGAGGAGGTTTACACATGCAAGGACTGAAGGAGTTGTGTCCGACGAGCCCCAACTTCGGGGACGGATCCTCCTGGCCCCTTTCCTCGAGACAAAACAAAAAACAACGGGGACGCCCGGCGCGATGGCCGAGCACTACCCCGACGTGATGGAAGCACTTTGAAGGGGTCCCGTGCCTTGCTGACCCAGTCTCTCCCTCAGCAAAGAGATTTCGGACGGCAGCACCAATGGAAGACCCCTTGCGATGTCCAAGATGGCGGCTTGGAGACCGGGAAGGAATTTTTTTTTCTCTTCTTGACGACGACGCGGAGGCTGAATTGTCCACCTTCCGTGTCGCCCTCCCGAGAATTCTCTTGGACCTGGATGGTTCCACTTCGTTTTGGGAGAACCCCCATTTCCTGAAGGCCTTCAACGGCGGAAGATGTTCTAGGGGGAAGAGGGCCTTAGAAGGAATTTTTCTTTTAAAAAAAAGAAAGAAAGTAATTTATGGAGCTTCCGGCCTCCAGAAGGCCCAATTCAGAAGCCTACGTCCCATTAGTCAGTCGCAGAGGTCACTTGCATAAGGACGGTTCCTCAAACGTTCCTCCTAACAGCTTGTTGTAGCAGATGGTGAAGATGTGGGTTTTTGTTTTAAAATTTTATTCTTATGTGCCCTCGGCTTCTCTTTCTTTGCTCTCCGTTGCAATCCACTTGGTGAATTTGGGAAACCACTAGCGACAAAAAGAGCCTGAGATCTTCTCAACTGGTGTTTTGATTCCTTCGGTGATTTAATTAGGACTTCTTCTTCTTTTTGCCCCAATTTCTCTCTTCTTATGACTTCAGTTGGCACCCGGGGCTGCTTCAAAACCAGCGTGACGTCCTGGCTGGGAATGCCATTTGGCGCTCGGCCTTCGGAAAACGGAGAAAACACATCGCCTTCGAGACGACGGATGAGGCTTCGTTTTTTGTTTTTCACACGTCCGGATCAGTCCAAGAATGCGTGTCTCTCGAGGGTCACATTTCACCCGCCTTCCTCCGTAGCTGATGATATTCTCTGGGGCTGATTAAAAGCCTGTTTCTTTTTTTCTTTTTTTTTTAGAAAAGCCCCAAAATGACTTAAACCACTAGAAAGCTGCACGTGTTAGATGTAAAGCAGCCAGCAGCCAATTCTTGTTCCTGTAGGTCAGAAGGGAAAATAATAATATATATATGGAGAAATATCAAAATGGCAGGCTGGATCACTTGTACAGGTAGTTCTCGACTTACAACTGTTTAGTGCCCAAGTTAACAAAAAAGGCACTGAAAAAAGTGACCTACGACCATTTTTCACACTTACGACCGTTGCAGTATCCCCCATGGTCACGTAATCAAAATTAAGATGCTTGGCAACTGACTCGTATTTATGACAGTTGCAATGTCCTGGGATCATGTGATCCTCTTTTACGACCTTTAACAAGCAAAGTTAATGAGATTCACTTAATGACCATGTTATCAACTTTAATAACTGCAGTGGTTCACTTAACAGCGGTCACAAGAAAGGTTCTTAAAACGGGGCAAAACTCCCTTAACCACATGAATTTTGGGCTCGGTTGAAGTCATAACTTGAGGACTATCTGTACAGGTGTGATGGTCAACAGAGCATTCTTCTGTCATGTGAACTGGGGAATATTACAAATATTCAACTTTTTATTTTTGCTTCAAGATGGGACTTGGATGAACAGCTGATAAATTCCTGGGTGAATCGTCCACGCGTGATGGGCAGTTGATTTTAAAACCGGTGCAAGTGTTGCATTTTATTTTATTTTTTGTCCTGGGGAATTGCAATTTGACCCGTCGGAGGAGCAGAGCAGAAATCTTAGAATAACATAGTTGGAAGGGACCCTTGGAGGTCATCTATTCTACTCCAATTCCCTCCAACGTTTCTTGCACATTCTCGTCTGGGAAATCATCCCTGCTCTCAGGCCCAATTTTAGGGGTGTTTTGAACAAAATAATAATAATAATAATAAACAGTAGCAGCTTCTATCAAAGCTGTCCTTCTTGGGAATGGATGAATTTGGAGGAGGTGATGACCTGGGGAGAATGAAGAACGAGAGAGTGGCTTGGTTCCAACATTGGTGGGATGGGCCCAAGATGGATTAGAGGAGTGACCGATAGCTCCTAGCTTTGGGACATTGCTTGTAACAGGTATGAAATACATCCATGAACTGGTCTCAGGTCTGATCGTGGCCTGATGTAGACCATTCCTGAAGCTGTTTGCCCAGGAATCTCTTCGCCCAAAGGACCCCCTCTAGCTCCGTGCAACGGATTGAGAACCAAACGAAGACTGAAAAAGACTCTTTATTATTTCAAGGGTGGAATAGGAGTCTATCTAGATACGTTCCGGTGCCCAGGTCTAAAATATTGAACGTTTATTTATTAAGCTTTGCAGAAGTTTGTATGGTTTCCATGTGGTATTATGAAACGGGGCCTCTCGTATGAACATGTGAGTACTCCGGGTTTTTATTTTGGGGGAGTTTTTTTTTTTTGCACGCTGGTATTTTGAACCCGGATTCCCGAAGGGACTCTTTTAATTTTTTATTTTTTTCCAACACTGTAAGGCCTGACCTTTGAGCAAGCTGCAGCCTCATTTTTCTTCCTTTTCTTTTTTTTCTTTTTGATCAATGTTATTTGGAAAGAGAGGGTTTCGGAGCGACTTGGAAGACTGTCTGGAAGTCTGGTTTTCATTTAGCTCTAAGCCCAGCGGTGGGTCCTGTTTTTGACATTCCTCCTTGACATTGGAACAGCTCCCCTCGAGGGTTTTGGGGGGAGGATTTGGGGGAGAAATGGGGAAGGGGAAAACTGGAGAAATGGGACTTGTGAAGTCCTTGGTGTTCACTGAACTTGGTGGTTTTCTCGCAGACGTTTCGTTGCCTAGCCGGTGATGTTCATGAAATGTTTGCAAGAAAACCGCCAAGCTCAGACACCAAGAATCCCATAGTCCTCCTCCTCCTCCTCCCCCCCAAACACTTCTCCCTTTAACACTGATGATGTTCCTTAGTTGGGCCATGAGACGTCTGCAAAAAAACCCACCAAGCTTCTTCCTCCTTCCCCTTCCCATCCTAATCTTCTTCCTCCTCCTCTTCCCAAACACCACTTCCTTCTAGCACTGATGACAGCCCCTAGTTGGGTCATGAAACATCTGCAAGAAATCCACCAAGCTCAGGGAGTACTTAAAGACTCCACAGTCGTCGTCCTCCTCCTCTTCCTCTTCCTCCTCCTCCTCCTCCTCTTCTCCTCCCACAAGCACCTCTCCTTTCTAGCATGAATGACGTTCCCTAGTTGGGTCATGAAAGATCTTCCAAAAAAATGCATCAAGCTTAGACAGCAGCCAGGACCTCTCGGTTCAATCCCGAGCAACAAATATTCTTTCCTTTTGTTAGACACACCTCGTTTTGGGCTATAGCCTTCATTTTTGGAGAAGAAGCGTGGAGGAGAAGTCCCAAATTCCCCTTTCCCGTTAGTGGGAATATTCTTGGGCGCTTGGCCAACCAGAGATATCCAGAAATGGGAAGATCCTTCCATACATCCAGACCCTTCTGTCAAGTTATTTAAAATTATTTAAATTTATGGAGCGGTGGTGACTTCAAAAGTCACTTGCCCATGGCTGCTTCTCAACATTGGGAAATCTTGATACAATTTTTCTGCTTGATGAGGTAAAGAGAATAATTTTTCCTCTGGGCCACTATCTCAGATACCTGGTCTAAAGATGGCTTATAGAAGATCTTGCAGGATTTTGAATGCTCTTGGGATTGTAGAAATCTCATCTCAGTTTTGGAGATGGCCTTGCTTGATTTTTGAAAGCTGTGCCTGAAATTACAGGTAGTCCTCGGCTTATGTCTGTTTAGGGACCGTTCAAAGTTATGACAGCACTGAAATATCTGACATGACCATTTGTTCACAGTTACGACTTTTGCAGCATCCCTATGATTGCATGATCAAAATTCAGAAGCTTTGGCAACTGACTCATACTTACGACCGCTGCTGCGTCCTGAGGTCACGTGATCACCTTTTGTGAATTTCTCATAAGCGAAGTCAATGGGGAAGCCATTGATTCACTTAACAGCCAGATTACTAACTTATCAACTGCAGGGATTTACTTAACAACAGTGGCAAGAAATGGGGCAAAACTAACAAATGTTTCACTTATCGACAGAAATGTTGGGCTCAGTTGTGGTCGTAAGTTGAAGATAACTTGTATCGACCAAGGTTCACTGGAGAATGCTCACATCCTACCCAGTTAGGATCCTGGTTTAATCTGTTTCAGTGTTCTGCAGATGCCAAGATTACGAGCTTAACCTTGCATTTAAGTTTCTCCTTCTAGCACAATCGTAGATTAGGAACCCCTTGTGAACGTGTTTAAAAGGCAAACAGGCCACCATCTCATCTCAGACATTATCAGAGTTCAGGGAATTGGGTTACAGGAAGTTGAACCAGGGAGATGATGGCTTTCTCTGTTAACTTTCTTTCTCTAAAGGAGTCTTGGCAACTTTCAAGATGGCTGGACTTCAACTCCCAGAATTCCTCAGCCAAAATGCTGGCTAGGGAATTCTGGGAGTGGAAGTCCACACACTTTAAAATAGCGAAAGTTGACAAACCCTGTTTAAGAAATGTCATATAAGCTTGCAATCCTGGAGCAATTGTACCCCAAAACAAATGGGTCAAACAGTTCATTTTTAAATAGATTTTTACTTGTCCAGGCTTGGCACAAATCTCTCCTTGGGAGGGAAACAACGAACTGGTGAAATTCATACAACTTGCTAAACCTAGATCACGGAACATAGCTATTTCTGTTGTGAACCATAACTAAATTGACCAGACAGGCTGAGTTTGCACCAAAAGCTAAGCCAGCATGAAATTAATGTAAATATGTTCAGGTGCCGGATCTTTAACCAATCCAGTTGAACATGTTGCGTGAACCAAGGTATCATGTTTTTTTTAAAAAAAATGCAACTGTGGATTGCAAGAATGATGCTTATTCTAACCAGTATGCATAAGATTACAGGTAGTTCTCAACTTACAATGGTTCATTTAGTGACTGTCCAAAGTTATCATGGCACTGAAAAAAGCATCATTGTAGCATCTCTATGATCAATGAGATCAAGATTCAGACTCATATTTGTGATGG